GAACATGGACCCTGGTGTCTGGATTTAAAATGGCGATTATGCTGCTTACTGGTGTTTCTCTTCAGGCAAGTTATTAACTAAGCAGTTAACCAACTAACTAAGTTACCGACATCTGTGTCCTACATTCTGTTTTGTGTAAATGACTATAAAAATGGTACCTATCGCATCAAGTGATTTTCTGCATTTAACTGGATTTTATATGAATATGCCTTGCATGCTGCCTAGCATATAGAGAATAAAAAGTTAAAAGTAATCATTTTTATTCCTTTTAAAGTGGAATTAGTTTGGAATATAGTGCTAGATGTTGAGAGTAATAATAACATAATATAACCAATTCACTGCTGCTGCCACCAATAACTCACAAATATGTAAAACAAAAGACATAGAAACTCATCTATTATAACATATTATAGAATTTTTTTAGAATGTTAGATTTTTTCTTTTTTAAGTAGAATGTTAGATTTTTTAAAGCAACTGATTGGAGTTCTGTCTCTTTAAGGAATTATCTATAACCTATAAGGAAGAGTATAGGTAAACCTCCCAGGGCCTGTATATTATAGGATTTTCAGAATTAATCTTTTCATTTTGCCATAAAAAGGCAGGAAAATCATGACTGCTCTTTGATTAAAGTTCATTAAAGCTTATACATGGCTCCAAATGCTGCTTCTGCTTTTCTTTATTATTAAAGACCTAAAAGAAAATGAGAATAAACCTAGTATAAGTCAGAAACAAAGAATTTTAAAATTTTTGAGAGCAATTTCATTAAAATTTTATGAGTCTTTTTGCTTTTTAGAATAGCTGGTCAAAATGGAAAAATACAAGGCCAACTTATTGGATTGTCAGCCATCCAAATGATAACATCAAAATAGCATTAGCCAAACCTGTTTCAGGCAGGTGAATGATTGGATCTTATATGGTACTAATTGATGGAATGCCATTCTCTGGGATTACCCTTAGGAGCACACAAATCAGGAGTAATGTAGTTATCTGTCCTTATCTGCCTGAATCACTGAATGTGCGAAACAGTCAATCTAGACTCTAGATCCTTTACAAATTCTGTGATATAAGGCATATGAATAGAATGACCGACACAAGCATCAGCAGTCCTGACCTGTAAAACCCAGAAGCAGCAATGGTGGCAGCAGCAGCAACAGCAGGTCTTATTGGTGGGACATTTGAGGTGCTCCAGACTGGAGGTCATTGGGATAGCAGGGCTAGCAGGAATAGCAGAGGGATTAGTGAAGCTGAAATGCCATAACTACCACAGAGAAGTTATGTTATCTAAGTATCTTAAGCCCTTATAGATTTATAAAATTTATGTATAAAAATTATGTATTTCATAATACTAAGTATTATGTAGTTATAAAAAGGATAATTATCATTGCCATTTTGATACTTTGATTTTACTGTTTTTAATCATAATGTTCTTCAGATGTAGTACTATGTGATGTTGTCCACCTATAAATAATATATATGTCATCATTTTTGTGTAAATGTTCAACTGCAAAAGCTAAAGGCATATTCCACCCCATTCTACAAGAGGCACAGGGAATTACTTTACCTCTTACTTGGCTCTCAAGTATCCACATCTCTCCCTGTCTGTATGCTGCTGCTGAAGTAAGTTTTAGTGGCACATAGAATGGAATACACTGTAATACACTGTCAGCAACTTGTTAATGCTGTAAGTTTGTCCAAAAGCACGTTCCCTAAAGCACAGTAGGTACAGTGTGTGCATTTAGTCAGGAGAGGCTACGCTCTGCTGTGGTAACAAATAAACTAAGCAGCTTAACATAACATGTTTCCTCCCATTCATACAAAGTCTCTTGTGGGTCTGAATAACTTTCTAGAGTAGCTGTCTCCAGTGGTGATTTAGTAATCTAAGATGATTCAATTTCATCATGCCACCATTTCAATGTAAGTTATCCTCTTTTGCTACAGAAAGGGCTTCAGAAAGACCAAATGATTTCCTAGGAGTATTTCACAGCCTCAGCCCAGATGTGATACATATCACTTCTGCTCATATTTCTTTGGCTAGAATTAGTCAAGTGAATTCACATGACTGCCAAGGAGCTGGAAAGTATAGTCTCCCATATGCCCAGGAATGAATATTGATGATACGATATTGAAGGGATATTGATGAGTACTGTCTCCCACAGTATGCAAGATAATTTTAAGTCACGCAGAAATAAACTTTTACTACTGTTTGATTTTTGCATATATTTGAAAAATAGAAGTAGGACATCGAGTCTATGAGGTAATGGTTTCATTTTATATTAAATTAAGTTTAATTGCAAATACTACATATTATATCAAAAATGGTGAATGTGGTAAACAGATGTCTAAAGTGTTGGTAACACTGTCCTAAAGGAACGTCTGTCAAACACAAATTTTAGCATGTGAAATTTCAGGCAAACTGGGAACATGAGGTGGGGCATAGCAGGCTGTTCTTTAACAAGGACCTGAGGTTGATTCAGCAGCAGATGGTATGGGATTGCCTCCTGGGAAGGCTTGTTCTAGAAGCTAGTTGACTTTCTGCTGTTGAAATTGGAGAACCAGTGATGGAACCCATCATGGGGGAGACTGGAACTCCTGATGAACACCCAATTTTCTTTTCTTTCTTTTCTCCTTCTTCTACTAGACTGAGATTGCTCTTCATACAATGATGTAAGACTAGCAAGAATGAGGGATTTTGGAATAAAACCCTTGATCTGGCAAGCAGTACCTTCCTAATTGGCATTTATCTTCTCACCTGGTTTTCCTTGTCTGATATTGTTCAAACTGCTAGCCTGGATCCTCTCAAATCAAATACAGTAACATCACCCAATATTATTGGTAACTCCAAAGTTTTTCAGTCCACTAAAGCTCTTCCCTCACTGTTGGTGGTAAGTCAGTTGTTGTTGTTGTTGTTAATTTTCTATTTCCTTGTTTCCCAAGAGTACCTAGAAAAGGGTCCCAAGGGTTCAGATTTTGATGTTGTCATTTGTCTATAGTATTATTGATTTGTATGTAATTATTAAAAGCAGCCTCTTTTATTCTCAAAAAAAAGTCTTGTTTAGATGATAAATTATTTGATGATTCTGCTTCTGAGGATTATTTTTGTTTTATTTTATGATGTAGGTGACTAATTTTGTCCCAAAGACTCTATTCCACTGCTAATGCCACAGGGGGAATCTGAGGCTATAGATAGTTCTGAATGTTTAGTTTTCCTAACAGTCATTTTTTGGCATCATCTATATATTTTCTATAGGATAAAGATAAAAGTAAAAAGACATAAAGAGGAGTTAAAAGAAATAAGTAAGGACATTGGCAACTGGTAGATAAGCCAAAGCACATTTTGAGGAATCTAAAGAACCCATTATTCTGGCATTTACTTCTAACTTGCTCCAACTTAATCTGAAGGATGACACATAAAACCGAAGACAAATCTTGGCATTCATAACATTTATTCTCTTGTCAACATTTTAGAGGTGCATATTTTGTGTTCTAATGAAATGATTGTAATGTCTCACATTGTCTCAATTCTATAGTAGAGTTAGGACAGGCACTGTGCAATCTTAAGTAGAATTTCAGTTATGTGAGAGTAGCCATGAATTTGCAATAAAAGGTATAGGCACCACATTTACTTTTCCTATAATCCCACTGTTAGATAACATGTATAATAGCTGCTATTTATTTTGTCATTTGCTTCCATCCTAGAAGAAAGCAAAAGAGAATTTTGAAGGTACAATGTATCACATTTAGAGCAACCTTTAGGTCTATAGCTCATCAGACTGGCTTTTAAAATATGCAAGCACTCCAGGTTAAAAGTCTCTAAATACTTCATGTTGTTTTACTGTTAAATAATGTTTAGAGTTTGCTATCTTTTGTAGACCTTGGAAATCTAATTATTTATAATATCCAGTGACATTTACATTTTGCTAAATATACTCTGCTTGTACAAGAACATCTCATGATGAGAAAAATGGGTAGAGAATGCCTGGCTGTACATTTGTTTCTATATAATGCAAAAATATCAAGGTGACTTATGTTATCTTTTTGTTGCAGTTTCATGATTTTAAAACATAATTCTCAAAAAGTGTTCCTAACTATTAGCATTTAAAATACAGAATAAGAAGAAGTTTTCATAGTTGAGATCAGGGTTTACCATTTAACTCTCCACTGTCAAATCAAACATCTATTCAAGTTTATTGGTATCTTAACATAATACCATTCATTTCCATGCCAACAGCTCCAGAGTGTTTGGCTTCGTTTTTGAGATTGATTGAAGGTAGATTGTAAAGTTGACCTATTGTGTTAAGCTTATTTACACAAACACAGTGTCTTGAAAAATCAACTCTGGAAATGCATAGCAGTTGAATCCTAAGGTATTTCACATTCTAAGTTTTCTAATACCTGCTTTACAGAAGTCCCTTGGGTGGTGAACCTCGACTTTACCAGTTACCTTACCTGGGGGAAATTACTTCCACATTCTTAAATTTGAAGTAAAATTTAGGAATTGCTTTAGGAAAAAGGATTTGCTTTTAATTTCATTTGACTAATTTGCTTACTTAAATAATTTATTATTTCTAACAAATTTATGAGACAATCACAGATGAATTTTTTTTTTTTTTCAGGCTCTTGGAACACATTTTTCTTCAAAGACTTTAAAAATAGCATCCCTAAGATATAAGCAATGCAAAAAGACTGAATTTTGAAAATACCTATATGGCAAGAGTGAAAAACAGAATTTGGATCCTGGATGGTTACAAATAGATTATTTTAAAAAGAAGTTGGATTTATTCAACTTAGGTCAATTTATCTTGGTAAGAATTTAAAAGTGCTTTCTGATGCCACATCCTGGTCTGTCACCTGTTCTTAAATAATCAGCCTGTTATGTGTCATCACCCCTCCCGAACTCCCCATTTGCCCCATCAAAATGTGGAGTTCTGTCTTGCTGCTGAGTAACGTGGGGCTGGTTATGACTGGGAGGGAGGATGGGAGCGGGGCACGTGGACCAGAAATACTTCCTAGAAACAGCAAGTACGCTGCTCAACCCTGCCTGAACTTTCCTGTAAACAGCCACTGACAGACTGCATCCCTGCTGGGTGGATCCCGCGACTCCTAGAGGGAATGGCACTTCTTGTTTTTAATTAGCAAGGTGAAAGGTGAATTAAAACTAGCAGTTTGGCAAGTCGGTGCAAGAGGCTGACTTCTGAGAGGCTTCCAGGAGCCCGAAGAGAGGACCTCCACGGGAGAAGGGAGTGCGTGTGCGTGTGCGTGTGCTCGGGTTTTTTTTTTTTTTTCTGAATGAACAGCTTTGCCTAAGTGACTGAAAAATACAGCTTCTTCCTGAATCTACCGGCGTAGTTGCTGAAGAGAGCTCTAGACAGGACATGGCTCTGAAGACTCACTCTTTGGAATGTCCTCTTGCTCCCGGCTTATAAACAACTGTCCTGAGGAAAGAAAGGTTTTACGTAGCCAAATACAGCCTGACAAATGGCACTTCGGAACTGTGCTTTCTGATGACAACGCGTTCGATTTCTGACAAAGCCTCTCGCACGCTGCCCCTGGAGGGAAGTCCTAAGTAAAACTCAGACCCTCCTTAAAGTGAGGAGCGAGGGCTTGGACGGTGAACACGGCAGCATGGCATCCGCCGGGTACATTATCACCTTGCTCCTGTGGGGTTACTTACTGGAGCTTTGGACAGGAGGTCATACAGCTGATACTACCCACCCCCGGTTACGCCTGTCACATAAAGGTAGGTTACCTTTCCAGATCCTTTTGTTTAAAAGAAAAAGAAAAAGAAAAAGAAAAAGAAAGTCGTTTAACATAGGCTTATGGTCTTCAAAGACCTTTAAAATGCACCTGAAAAATTTATTGCAAAACTGACCTAAAATTCTAAGTACCTCTGATTAATATGTCATACTCACCTCATCTGAAAACAGTGCAAAATCACATGTCAACTTAGAGATGTTATTTTTGTCTGTAAATACTGGGTTTTATTAATGAGGAGTTCACTCACTGGCAGAGGGAACACAGGAAGGGAGGAAGCAGGTTGTAAATAGCCTTGAGAGGCTGAATCCACCAAGTTAACAGTAGGTATTTAAATATCAGTTTATGCATGTGAGAAACAAGGATGCTGGGGAAGGGCTATAGAAATAGGGGTGCAATTTGTTCTTTTTGTTTTTGTTTTGTTTTGTTTTGTTTGCATAATGGAGGTAAGAGGAGGAGGAAAGAAAATTCCTGAGGAGAAAAATGATGCCCTATCCATAATAACTGTCATCATCATGTAATTAAAATGATTGACAACTAATATAAATTAGTTTTCCAGTGCAATTGATTATTAGAATTTTTTCATGTGTGGCAAAGCAAAATACTTTATGACAATGCTTGTAAAATGGCTAATATTGATTAAAGTATTAGTATTCACTAGCATTTGTAGTGTTAATTTATATTGCCTTAATGAAGATCTGTCTAACAGTGAATGTTTAAATATTTCATTCTACAGTTGTCTTGTAAAGCAACATTATACTCATAAATAAATGATTAAAAGATAGATTTTGCATCAGGACCAATACAAGCCAGTCATGAATATGTTTGATAACTCCTCCTGTAAACAAACAATCAATAAACAAAACCATGCTCAGAGAAAGTGACTTTGCTGACTTAAAATAAGTTCAGAATAAATTGTCAGCAAATAAGTATTTATTATCACCAGCCATTGAGACATTGAGACAGAAAGCAGATGTAATACTCAGGATTACATAAGAATCATTTTTCAATTGTGTAAGCTTTTAAATTGACCCCCACTGTAGAAGGAACAGAAGCTTGCATTTTCTAAGTATAGGTAGAATATTTGTCAGGAGAAACAAAAAGGGAGTCCTCGATTTTATGTGACATGTTTGGTCTTTTTGTCTTTTTACTGGACAATCTTCACTAAATGTTATAGAAATTTTTCATTTTTAGAGTAGTTAAAACTATGGATATTTTCTTAGTTTAAATACATTTCCTATAATACTATCTAGTAGATAATACAAATTTAAGAAACACATTGATACTAAATTGGCAAAGTGTTTAAAATATAGTGCCCAGAATTAACACTAATCTTTTAACTTGGGAAGATGTAGCATGGTATGTATCAAAATGCCTATTCCAAAGAAGTTTATCATCAAAGATGTCAAGATGTACAAATTTGATGTGATGGAATATGAACAAATAAAGATGCAAAAAAATATAAATTGATTGTTTTTCTTATGTAGATGAATGGACAAGCTACCGGTTTTTGCAAGCTACAATTCTGTTACATCTAGTATTAATATTTTATACCTTGTTATTGGGGTACTTGTGTTTTCATGGTTCAATATCAGTGTGTTTTCCAACAGGTCACATTTTAATATTTCATAAGAGAGTTAATAATTTGATCAAAGAATACCAAAGTTCTCCGATACAAGTAAATGTTATGCATAATACTGCTATTGAGTTTGTCTTTATTATGTCACTTTTAATCAAAGAAATAATTGTAACTGATGTTATGAGTGGTGTCATATGGTGTGAGAGTAAAACTGCTAGTATCTATATGTACACTAGACTGAAAACTCCCACAGGATTTCCTTTACCTTTGAATTTAGTGGAACCAGCTGAAAATGCACAGTATGATGTTTTTATACAAAGGCAGAATAGAGAGAGTTACCTGAAAATGGAATGTTCCTACTTGTGCAATTTTGTTAGTGAAGTCAGCTAAGAGATCACACTGGAGATGCTACCTGAAGCAGCCAATGCCTACTGCACCTCAGGGGCCTTAGTGAAAAGAAGAGCATATACACTGTCAGAGCAGGGTATTCAGTCCCACCAATATAATAGGAACAGCCCATTTATCTCTCTACACTCTGGAATTCAGTGAATATTTTAGAGGTCTTCAAAAACTAGGAATAAGATATTGCAGATTATTCTTCCGTGGTCTTGAATAATGTCAGTAATGGCAAATGTTCAGTAGTGAGTGAATTAAGATAATTAATATATAAATGAGTTTATAATCTTTCAATATAAGAGGCACTAGGTATATGTAATATAACACCTCTGCACTGCTGCCTGACCACTAGCAGGGAAATCCAGGAGGTTCCCTGGAGGTAGCCTACTAGAATAATTCAGAAATTCTTTTCAGAGTTCATGATCTAAGCTGTATGGGAGAAAGGCAGGCATTTTTCTCATATTCTTCACTTTTAAGATGGCATTTGAAAACACAAACCTATTGTTTCTTCTCAAGGAGGAGGAGAAAGTTTATCATACACAGAGATTGAGTTAAATTATATAAAAATATGTTCAGAAAAAAAAAAAAGGTCCAGAGATTTGCCCTTTTCCTCTCCCCTTCATTCTCCATTACTATTTCTTAACTAGACATGTTCTTAACTAGAGCTGGAAAGGAAGGGATCATTAGGATTAAAGAGGAGAAAAGACAGAGAGAGAGAGAGAGAGGCAGAGAAAGAGAGAAGGAGACAAGGTATAAGGGTAATATGAGGTTTGGAATATTTTCTAGTTGATTTCCTACTGCCTTGTACTCCAGTGGGATAATATTGAATCCCTTCCTCTTCTAACTGAGTATCTCACTCCACACTAATATTAAGAAAATATACTGGCTTAGGGCAAGTCTGGTAGATAAAATGATGAGATAATTACTCTTGTTGAGGCAATACATAAATCTTTTAATGTATTTTCTAGTTATAAGGTAAATTACATTAATAAGTAAACATGTAGCAAAGATTAAGATGGCAAGATGCTGTCCTGCTTTGTAAAAATTTTCGGTCAAGATTCGAGTTGAATTTGGCTATATCAGGCAAATATTTAAAAGTTCATGAATAGTTATGCATTATAGCTAACTTTATCCCAGCTCAATAGGGTAACATTGGTGAGATTAATGCAAAATTTTAATATTCTCCCCCAAGGGTTTCCTTGAAAAATACTGTGGTCCTCAGGACAGAAACCAAGGAAGGAGAGAATGAAGGGAGAAGAGTCCTGGTGGATTCATCTACTTCCCTTTGTTGATATCTGTTCTCTCCTTATCTTTCACCATCCTGCACTAATGAGGTTACAGGGAAGGCAAAAATAAGCTTCTTGATAATGGAGCTCAGAGAAGAAAAAACAAATAAGCCAAGACCTATGTTGAGAAAGAAATACCAATGTACGTGGAAAGCCCCAGAAATTCAGTCATGGGAGCTTGGCAGACAGGCTAGGTGTTTGAAGTCTCAATAAGGATGAATGCTATTGCAGAAATCAAGGAGAATGGCTGCTTAAGCATAATATGTTCTCCTAGAATAGTTGGTGAAGAGACAGTTAAATAAAGGCATGGATATGGCAGAAGAACATTCCTAAAATATGTTAACACTACACATGTAGATTTAAACATGGAATATATACTTATGCAGATAGAACTTGCAATAGAGTGTTAATTAGTGTATCTGTATTGGGTATTATAACCAATTAAATACAGATTTATCATAGTTCAGAGAGCTCAGCATTTGAAATCAGAGGCCTCTACTCCAGCTCTAGTACTTCCCACTTAAAATAATGATAATTAATTGTCTGCATCTCAGTTTCCTCTATTTGAAAATAGGGGTAGTAATGGTATTTTGCCTGTATATTTTACTGGGTTTTTGAGATAATCAAGTGGAACAACAATATCTGTGAATGTACCTTATCACCTAAAAACTATTTATATTATTAATGTTTTTGCAGACTGATACAAAGTGAGAGTATTGGAAGGAAACAGGTCCTAAAGAGAAAAACCTTGAAAATGGTATGAGTTTATATTTCAACAAGTGCTAGGATAATGCTAATATAGAAGACAGAATAAACTTGCTCTTAAATAGCATAAAACATATGATTTATCTTGATAGATTGCACTCACTCCAAATCTCATCTTCCATATCTTTGACCTCTAGTTATAATAACTCAGAAGATGATTACATTGTCTGTGCATTTTCCAAGTTTCATGGCCTATATTTTTTTTTTTGCTGTAGTGTACATATATCCATTTGTTACATGTATTCACTCTACAACACACGTTTTAGAATTCATTCCATTTACAAGAAAATAATTGACAGAGAATTCTAAAAGAGCACAATGTTAAATAAACATTCTGAATGATCATTCTGGAGGCCGTGGTATTTATTTTATACCCAAGGCAAATAAAAAATGAGGTAGTGACTGAGCCAGTTTTTCCTGACCCAGCTCATAGCTTTAGTTCCTCTTCCAATAGCTTGGTATTATCAATAGTGACATTAGTCACACATCTCTGGGTGTTAGTAAATAAAAACTGGTCATATGACATGATTCATAAGCAGAGTGATTAAATAGGACCCAGGAGGAAACACTAGCCTATGTGTCCAGAGCTTCAGGGAGAGACAGTGAGAATTAAGTGGTGGATTTATTAAGAAATAGCTTATATTATAAAAAATACCACTGGATAAATTGTGAGGAATTACAATATGTTTCGTTGAGTCTGGTTTATACAAAATATGCTTTCTGTGGAGAGAGTCTTCCTAAGAATTTTAGATAGTGCTATTATTTGTGTTTTTATATTTGCTACAGACAAATATTGTCCATGTATCACATTGAAAGTCCCCGAATGGTTCTATGAATTATTAAATTCTTATCTGGATGTTGCACTTTACAGTGGGAAAACAGTTATCTTTTAATATAGAAATAGGGTGAGGGAAGGTCTGGGTTAGAAAAAAATAGTAACTGGAATTTATATATGAACTG